GCCACCGATGAGCCGCAGAATGGCTTCGACCGCGGCTTTCGTCCGTTTAAGATATTGGGCGCCAAAGAAGACAATGGACTCAAGTTTTTGGTGATGTTTCGCGAAGACATGACAAAAGCCGATCTCATACCCAACCATGTGTTGCATCAAAAGTGTCCGCAATTACTGATCAAATACTACGAGAAGAACACACTCTGGAAGAGACACTAATGATTACCGCCGATGGTATCGATTCTCATCTAATGAAGTGTTATTTATTGAATGGTTTGTTGCATCAAAAGTGTCCGCAATTACTGATCAAATACTACGAGAAGAACACACTCTGGAAGAGACACTAATGATTACCGCCGATGGTATCGATTCTCATCTAATGAAGTGTTATTTATTGAATGGTTTGACTGATTTAAGGATTGATTTTGTGTTGAGTTTAGAGATAAGAGTTTGAACTCATAATTTAATTTAATTTAATTTTTATTTATATTTTCATTTAAAATAACTTAACATTAGTTTTGAAATCACTTTTCCTTATAATTTTCCCCATATTTTTAAACAATTTATATTTACTGATAGTTTCCGTCTGTATTTGTTTTAATGAATTTTATTTTTAAAACATTTTAAACTATTTTACGACTAGTTTTTTGCTCTCATTTTATTAATAACTTTCAAAATTTGTGATTTTTTTGTTGCTTTCGGTTTGAGTTCAATATATTTAAAGCCAAAATCTTGGCATCAATTGATGCCATCGATCATCAAATTAATTATTCAAATGTTTTGTTTTAAATTTTGAATTTTGTTATTTTTACTATTTATTTCATTATTATTTTTTTTGTTCACATGTTTTGTATATAACATTAATTTCAATGTGTTTTTTCTCGGGATTTTCTACCAGTTTTGGCATTTGTTTACATAAAACTGATTATTGTTTTTTAGATTAATTTTTATACACGAAAATGAATTATTGCGAGAAAAGTCTATTTATTAGATAAAAGTTTAGTTAAATTGTTTGTGACTTTTTTCCAAATGCTTTTGATTGTTATTTATAGATAATTATTGTATAAACCATTTGGTCATCAATTTTATGAACACATTTATTAACCGAACAATTAATTGTAAACCGGATTTAATGATGAATTGAAAGCACAATCTGTACCTAATTTCTATCTAACATGACCTCAGATACCCTTTCTATAGCCCAACCCATAGGACACGTCCTGTATATGTGGCCTAAAAACGGCATATTGTGTCCCATTTCGCGATAACTACTGATGCAAAACATGTATATTTCTTCCAACAAAATGTTTGCAAACATTAATTAAACACACAATCAAAGAGAGATTTGGATTGATTTTTATTACATGAAGAATATATTTGTCTATTTTTAATTCACTAATTATTTAGCATTCGTTAGATATTAGTAAATATTTTTCATTACTATTATCATAATTGCTGTAAATTACTTGCTTTTTGTTGAATAAATGCATAATTTATTTGAATTTATTTTCTTGTATTTCTTATTGAAAATATATTTTTGTATTTAACTATAAATTTAAAGGAAAAATTGAATTATATTTGAGATATTTTTAACTGAATGTGATTTGAGAGGCGAAACGTCAAATGATAACCACTTTTGAAGCCAGCGTTTTGTGAATTACATTCAAAACTCATTCAAAACTTTGTTATGATTTTATTATATAACTTGAAAAGCCTTGAAAACTTGTTTTTTGTTGACTATTGAGTCGACAGTTTTGTATTAAATATTATAAATGTTTGTTTTTTATACATTTAATCCAAACAATACATAAGTCTTATTTATAATTGTTTAAATGTATTGATAAATATAATTAATTAATGAGTTAACACGTTATAGCATTGGATAATATTTCAAATGTCATCAACACTTAAAATATGTGAACATGTTTTTATTTTATTTGCAAAAAGTCTGAATGTTTAGCATTTTATGTATAAATTTACATAAAGTATCCGAAAGTCATTTCTAAATGTGAACTAAAAACTAACAAAATTTTGCATTGAATTCACGTATTAGACATTGAAATGTCTAATATTTTACAAATGTATTGCCATTAGTGTTTGTAAGTCTGTCTTATCATTACATGCGATAATTTATATCATATTTTGTTGTCATTATTTGAAATATCATTCTGTTATTAATTTGCACTTATATTTAGGAATTTCAGTGAAAATTTGTTTGTATTTCACTGCATATGTCGGCGATTGGCATATATTTCACGGGAAAATGACTTATTTATCGCAATATTTAAATGTAATCACTTATTGGCCATCGATTGTCGTCATTACATTAATTACATTATATTTGTAAGTATTTAAACCAATATTAAATATATATACAGCATTTGCAAATTTATTCACAAACTAATCTATAATAGCCGTCATATATTCAAAGTATTAGTTCATTAAACATAAAACTTATATTTTCATTAAACTAATTAATTTCCTCTATAATAAAAATAAAATTATTGTGAATCTAAATTTCAATTGCATATTAATTGCATTAATAAAAAGGTTATAAATTAAATTACAAAAAACAAAATCTAAAAAATCAATAGTCTATGAGGGATGTGATGTTGAAATCAGGGTAAATGCAACACAATATGTGTAACAACGAAATACAGCACAACTTTTATCGTCTATCGTTAAAATAGACATGAAATAAAACTTTTATGAAATACTTATAATTCAATCCTCTATTTGCTAATTAAATACTTGGAAAGGCTTTTGAACTTTGATTTTTCAATTGCTATAACAAAGAATTAATATAATTTTGTATTTAATTACAATCAAAAAGCTATTCGACTCGTAATCACAAATACTGGCGCTCACGTGGCGTAAAGGGGCCGAAGCCGTGGCCACTGATCGGTAATCTTTATCAAGTGTTTCTCAAACCCCGATGCGTTTACGGACTCCACAACTACAAGACTTACGGCAAAATCTATGGGTTCGTCTCTTTTAGGCACACTATAGTTATTGAAATAGTTTTACATTTACTAAAAACATTACAAAAAATTATTTACATAAATGATAATGTATTAGAATGGCTATCAATACGTGTAGATAAAATTACAAAATTAGCTTTATAATTTAAGTTAAAATTCTCAGACACCAGAATGACCAAGTTTTGTTGAAATCGGTTTATTTACAGTAAAAATTTAAAGTTTATGAGACGAATACATTATTTTGCCGCAACTTTATTAAAAATATAGTAAATATACTAATGATCCGATATCTGTGAAACTTGGATTATGGTGCCCAGGAATGTGTAGCTAAATAATGAAACCAATTCTACAATTCTATCTAAACGGGGTGATAGTGAATCAACTCTTTATCATTTAACCCAATACATACTTTACATAATGTATAATTAACTCAGCTGAATGGATAAATTGGAGAGTGAGTCTTCTTGGATTTAACATTAAACCAATGCATTCAATAGTTTTGACTATTTATTACATTGACTAATATTTTCTATTGAAAACTTCATTACACTTTGAGTCAATGCAATGAATGGTCAAAAGTATTGAATGCATTGGTTTAATGTTAAATCCAAGAAGACTCACTCTCCAATTTATTCAATCAGCTGTTATATATCCAATCAGTTATTTTGATGGAAATAAGCCGGTGCTAAGTGTGGCCGAACCCGAACTCATTCGAGACATATTAGTAAAAGATTTTCACAAGTTTGTGGACAGAGTGGGCATATCGTTGGGTCACCCGATCTTTGAGCGATCGCTGCTCA